CCATTATCTTGTTCTGCCGAGGGTGGCGCCCTATCCCAACCTATGCTACTGCTTTGAGGTCCAAGAGAAGATGCTTGCATTGATAAGTTTTACAAAAATGTCAAGGTAAGCCCTTTAGTTGTAGACTTTAAGACCTTAATGCAAACAAGAACCTCTGGGACTAGAAGAAGCACCTTTGGACCAGTTAAAATAGAAAATTATTTGATGGACTACTCCGCCAATATATAATCAAAATATATCTTATTTACAATTTCTAGTTTGTTTTTTAAATGCTGGAAACGCAACTGCAAAAAAAAACGTTCATATTTTATTTAGGGCATGTTGGAATTAAAGCCAGATAAATTTGATACACTTAAAGAAATCCCGATGGGTAAGAGAAGTCGGTGTGTGTGGATGATCAGTTTAAATTTAAAATCTCATCTTGTTTTCATGTATCAAAATTAACCCTATTGAAAGATTATTTTTATTTTTTTTTACAAATGTGGCGTTATTGTTTGTTCCATACCTTCTTTATAAATGTGGTCGTGACTTCAAATGGTTTGAGAGCCTGTGTCCTAGAGCTACTGAGCTTAAGCATCATTCGCAATGGAAACGGTTTGACATGCAATTGAATGTAATAACAATATATGACAGACTGCGACTAGATGAACTATAAAAGAAAGCGTAACTAAAGTAATTTAGTGGTCTAAAGATCCCTGGGGCTCTAGACAACATGTCTGTAGTGGCATATTTGACTAGAGGCGCTGCCACCAACCCCACTGCGCTAACCTCGGTGCAGCACCTCTATGTAATGGACCTGCGTGTGGAGAGAAGGGTTTTGCTTTTTATGTGCGTTAGACAAGATCACAGCAGTTAAACAGAACGGCTCCTTAACTTCAATTGGAAAATAACCTCAGAAACTGGTCGGAATCATGATTACTAGTTGCCGCAGACGGTATAAGGTACATAATTGGGTAGTGGCAGCCTATACCAATGATTCTAATTACCAGCATGTGAGGGGGCTGTCAACAGGCAACAGTTTCGTCCTAGCTGCTTCGTAATCATTTACAAGGTAGAAACCAAATGTAGAAACGATATTAGAGGGTGTCCGATGCACCCTTCCCTCTCCCCCCCCCCCGACCCGGGATTAAATAGTTGGATTTAATGACGCTAATGTAAACATCCCGTTAGAGAAAGTTAGATGGTTGGGGGCAACACTACCAACAGGCCATGTGCTATTTGGTGGCGGTAACCCCTGCTTAGCCAGTCAATCAAGTGGACTGCCAGCGATTGCCATCACAGAGGCATCGACCAGCTGAAACGTCCATTTAATGTCTTGTCTTTTGCTTTTATGCCTGCTCATATCTTGTTCCTATAGTTATTTTAACCTTACATGTCTTGGACGCAGTGACTCATCCAACATCCTTTGTTGGTTATGTGGGGTAAGTTGTCGTGGTGAAAAGTATGAGAAGAACTTTAGAACTTTAGACCTTTAGAACTGTGTTTTAATTCCGAAAATGATGCTGTCTGACTCCCAACAGATCCCGTCTGATAATGTGTAAGGAAAACTATACGTTTTGTCCTTGTAAAATAATGCCAGAGATATCAGATAGGTTTCTCCTGCCGTCTAGACGGTCAGAGCCGGTAATGAAAGTAAATATGTTAAATAAATCATTTATATGTTGATGAAAAAAATAAATAGAGTTATATCAAGCTGTAGAGCATCAAATTTAATACTCATGTAACAACACCAAATATATGAATACTTCAGCTATGGTGGTAAAAACCATTCCTATAACAATTGAAGATCAACTGAAGATTAACTCAGAAGACATTTCGGGTCATATAAATGTGTGGGACTCCAATCTCACTCCATCTAAGATCGTGAACAGTGAGGGGGTGTGGGGGATAAGCCCGTGATTAACTCAAACATTCTTGACGCATCACATAATGACGCGACATATTAAAACATGACTTTATCTTAGGCCAATTCACCTGGTATAACGTTTATTATAAGGTTTTGGACCCAGATGTTCTACCTTGACGTTTCTTGATAACATAATTCGACCTGCACTTTGATATTCATAAAAGAAATGTATATGGGTGCAAATAAGTTCAGCATATTCTCATTTTGACATAGTCATCTAACTACACACCATCCATTCAAAGATATTACATATAGCTTGCAGTTATATTCAATAATGCCAACATTTATTTTTAACTCTATGCATTTCTTGTTTTGTTTTAAAGACAACGTACTCAGCCGAAACGTCTAATTTTTTTATTTTGCCCTTTTTGTTCGAGCACAACTTAACTGATTGATTTAAGAAAAGTGTTCGTGTTATGTCATAAAGTTCAGTTTAAATGTGTCTAATGTTTAAATCGAATCTTTATAACTTGCCAGGAACTCTAGCAGCAGTGATATTCTTATAAAATTTAGATTTTTTTCAGAGTACCCAAAGTCTTGAAATGACGCCTAAAATTGAAGAGACAAAGTATGACTGTATTATAAACTCGAATCATTCATATAGAAATAAAAATTAGGCGTGGTGAGCTTGTGAGATATATCTGATCAGATAACACAATCTTTGTAAAGATAATAGCACTTTCATTTATAGGATCTATTAGCTTGGCTATTAAATGTGTAGTATACTTAAAACTTAATTACTGTTTATCAATTCAATTGTATTTATTTTAGCACTCCAATGAGTAAAAAAAATTCAGATATTGCCACCAAATTGTTAGAAAGTAGTAAATTCGGCAGTGGCTTAGCTAGAGTTGATGTCACCCGAAGCAATAAACTCAGAGCGTCACCCCCATCCTCGACTTCCACGATGGGTTTCTTCTTGTTAAATTTTAAATAAGTCCACAATATAATAATGACAAGAACAAAAACAAATGAATTGAAGCTAACGAGGACAATGTATTTAAGAACTGTAACATGTACTTAGATTGCCCGTTTGGAAGCAATAGAAAGGTTTATTTCTCATAATTCAGATAAATAAAACTTCTTGTCACTTGCGAAAGTTACCGAACACTTTAATCGGCGTTGAATCATGGTCAAAACGGTGTTTTTCTTACTTAATTATATGGTCACCTCACATCTGACGCATTACACTTAAAATTTAAATAAAACACGCATTTCGATTGGTTACATGTGTGGAAAATGAACGTGTGATCCATTATCCTTTTTTGAAATTCGGTTAAACCATGCAGTGTGTGCTCTGAAAATATGCAATTTTTCAATTTGGTGTCACGCCCCTAAGATGGTGTCAACCGTAGCGTTCCGCAACCCCTTGCCCCCTAGCTACGCCACTAACTTTTGGGGAAGGTTTGGGTAGAAGGTCAGCGTACAAATTCACTTAGTAGCTTTTTCAAACGATGCTGGCCTAAAATATGAAGGGCAGCAACTTGTGACCATTTCACTTTAAGCAAAAAACATGACTAGTAATCTATCCTTTACAAGGATTAAATTTATTTTATTTTTATCTTACCTTGAACATTTCAGACAACAACATTTGTAAATAAAACATGTTTTATTAATTTTCCTTTTATGGCATTAAAAAAAAATTACTTTCATCTTTGGGTGCCCAATAATGTAATAATTCATTCTATTTTACTACGTACATAATTGTATTATCTTTGTATTCCCTTTCAGTATATACAACTCGCCTTTGTATTTACCATAATACATGCTGTTAATTTGAAGACATCCTGAAGTCTTTTAAAGCAAGTTGTAATGTGGGTAAAAAAGCTATAACAAGTAATATTTTTTTTCAGTATTATAAATTGAAAATACTCCTTCAAAATATGCAACTACATGTGTGTATGTGTTTGTGTGTGTGTTTGTTGGAAACTTCGGCATCTACCAATGAAGTAAGACATAAGACGACCAAGAGAGAGAGAGAGAGAGAGGGAGAGAGAGAGAGAGCCAGCACTGGCTTCAAATTTTCAAAACCGCCTCCAACGCAACCTTAAAGAAAAACATTTTTTCTTCTTCTGTTTTTCAAGGCAATAATGAATGACATAGGAGATATCTGATGTCACGAAATAAAATTCCCCATAACTATGCTAAATGGATTCATTAATATTTGCACTAAATAACAAGAAACTATCGGAAACTCTTGTCTTTCTCTGATCATACATTTGAGTGGATACATTAAATTACGATAACTTTGTTTTTCTGTCAGGGTTTGAACTATTTTACCCCGGCTATTACCACTTTTCTTTCTAAGGTATCTATTTTTTTAAAAACGATTTTATATTTAATTGCTGTTAAAGCTCATCATCCCTTCCAGAGTATTTTTTTTTCTACCCGCAACGTGATTGACCCAAAGGTCATTTATCGTTTGAAGAAA